TAGTAGTAGTAGTAGTAAGCGCAGCAGTAGTTGTCGTAGTAGTGTTATACTTGTAGTCGTAGTAGTAGTATACGCAGTACTAGTATCGTAGTAGTAGTAGTAGTAGTAGTAGTAGTAGTAGTAGTAGTAGTAGTAGTAATAGTAGTAACCGTAGTAGTAGTCGTGGTGTACTAGTTGGCAACAAAGTCGTATAAATAGCCATAGTGTCAGTAGTAGTAGTAGTAGTAGTAGTAGTAGTAGTAGTAGTAGTTGTAGTAGTAGTAGTAGTAGTAGTAGTAGTAGTAGTAGTAGAAAATGATAGTCGTAGTAGTAGTAGTAGCAGCAGCAGTAGTACTAGTAGTAGTAGTAGTAGTAGTAGTAGTAGTAGTAGTCGTAGTAGTAGTAGTAGTAGTGGTAGTAGTAGTAGTAGTGGTCGTCGTATTATTATTATTATTAGTAGTAGTAGTAGTAGTAGTAGTACTAGGAGTAGTCGTACTAATAGTAGTTGCACAAGTCGTAGTAGTAGTAGTAGTAGTAGTAGTAGTAGTAGTAGTAGTAGTCATAGTGGTGGCAGTGGTAATAGATGAAGGCGCTCCAGTAGTACAATTGGTAGTCGTCGTAGTGGTAGTGCTCGTAGTAGTAGACGGCAGATGTAGTAGAAGAAGTAGTAGTAGAAGTAGTAGTAGAAGTAGTAGTAGAAGAAGTAGCGGTAACTCTGACATTAGCAGTCGCGGTAGTAGTCGTGGAATGAGTCGTAGTGGTGGTAATAGTAGTCGTAGTATTCTTATTATTAGTAGTAGTAGTAGTAGTAGTAGTAGTAGTAGTAGTAGTCGTAGCCGTAGTAAAAGTAACCGTAGTAATTGTAGCCGTCGTCGTCGTAGTAGCAAGAGTAGTAGTAGTCGTAGTAGTCGTACTCGCCGTAATAGTAGTAGTAATAATATAATTCGTATTCGTAATAGAATTCGTAATCGTAGTAGTCGTAGTACTGGTAGTAGTGGTAATTGTGGTCTAAGTAGTAGTAGCAGTAGTCGTACTAGTAGTCGTCGCAGATATAATAATAGTAGTTGGCGTAGCAACAGCAGTAGTAGCAGCAGCAGTACTTGTAGTAGTAATAGTAGTGGTCGCCGTCGTAATAGTAGTAGTGGTCGTAAGGGTAAGAGTAGCGAGCCAGAAGAAGAGTGATAATAGTATCCGTCGCGATACCAGTAGCGATCACAGACGCGAAAGCAGTACCGGTAGCAGCAGCATCAGTCGCAGTCACAGGATAAGTAGTCGTTGCCGTCGTCGTCGTCGTAGTTGTAGTAGTGATCGTGGTGGTAGAAATAGTAGAACTAGTAGCAGTAGTAATAATGCACATGGTAGTCGTAGTAGTAGTAGTAGTAGTAGTAGTAGTAGTAGTAGTAGTAGTAGTAGTAGTAGTAGTATGTAGTAGTATGTAGTAGTATGTAGTAGTAGTAGTAGTAGTAGTAGTAGTAGTAGTAGTAGTAGTAGTAGTAGTAGTAGTCGTAGTAGTCGTAGTAGTAGTCGTAGTAGTAGTAGTAGTAGTAGTAGTAGTAGTAGTAGTAGTAGTAGTAGTAGTCGTACTTGCAGTAGCAATCGTAGCAGTAGACACTGTAGTAGAAGTAATATTGGTCGTGGTAGTAGTAGAAGTAGTAGTAGTAGTAGTAGTAGTAGTAGAAGTACTCGTCGTAGTAGTAGTAGTAGTAGTAGTACTAGTCGTAGTAGGAGTAGGAGTAGTAGTAGTAGTCTGAAGTAGTACTAGTTGTAATCGTAGTGCTCGTGCTCGTAGTCGTCGTCGTCGTAGTAGGAGTAGTAGAGGTAAGGGGAATATTAGCAGTTGACGTAGTCGTAGTCGTATTGGGAGTAGTAGTCGTTGTCGTAATAGAAAATGTCGTAGTAGTAGTAGTAGTGGTAGTAGAAGTAGTAGGTGGTAGTAGTAGTAGTTGTAGTGGTAGTAGGAAGTAGTTGTCGTAGTACTATAACATACTATCAGTAGTAGTAGTAGTAGTAGTAGCAGCAGCAGCAGCAGCAGCAGCAGCAGCAGTAGTAGTAGTAGTAGTAGTAGTAGTAGTAGTAGTAGTAGTAGAAGTAGTGATAGTAGTAGTAGTCGTAGTGGTGGAAGTAGTAGTAGCAGTAAAAGTAGCAGTAGTAGTAGACCTAGTGGTGGTGGGGGTAGAGATAGCGGTAGTAGGTGTCGTCGTCTTAGTAGTTGTACCAGTAATATCGTAGTAGTAATGGTGGTAGTCGTAGCAGTAGAAGTAGTGGTACTAGTAGGGATAGTGATAATGGTAGTAGCAGCTGTAGTAGTAGTAGTAGTAGTAGGAGTAGTAGTAGTAGTCGTAGTAGTAGTCGTAGAAGCATTAGTCGTCGTTGTAGTCGTCGTGAGAGTAGTATTAATAATAGTGGGAACGGTCATAGAATTTGTAGTCGGAGTGCTGGTAGTCGTCGTCGTCTTAGTCGTGGTCGTGGTCGTGGTCGCAGTCGTTGTGATAAGAATCTGAATCGTACGACGTAGTGGTAG